GATGCGTCGCCTGTGGAGTTCTTCCTTTAGAATCAGCTGACATGTCCCATAGCCTATCCCAACAATGTCGCATTAGTCGTTGATGGTACGACGTCGATCTTCGTGAATGGCCTGCCGAATCTTGGTAACATTTTCGGGCGTTGTGCTCGAAGATGGTCGTCCAGAACGCTCGTCATCATCGACAGAGGTTTGGCCATTTTTAAAACGTGAATGCCACACAAAAGTTTGCGGACTCCCCAAATGCTTGCTTTAGCATTTCATAGGTTTCCGTAGCCGTTTTGGCGAGTCTTTGGCAAAATTTGATGCACACGCCATTCCGAAATCGCAGGAGGGTCGGTGTAATGCACTACCAAAAACGCCCGTAACTAAGAAACAAATGCTAATTCGATGATGCCGGCTGGCACACTGATTCACTATAAATGTAGGCCGCACCCCCTAGCGGCAGAAGCTCGTACTACATCCGGTTCGCCCGCTATTGACACAGTCTGGAAACTTTCCGATCGCACCTCGTAATAACCAAAGTAAAAATATATGTTGTATATTACTGTCCATTGTATTTTGTTGATCAAGATGCTATGTTTCACATTTCTTAAATATACATATGTAAATTTTGACAATGATGTGAACACTTATTATCATCGTCATTACAGAACTTAACAAAAAAATGTATTGGTATGAATTCTATTCATCTGCATACTTTGATATGTTTATTGTTTACAGGTTCATGATGGCAGATCTGCAGGGGCACACTTGCTTGGAAGATACTGTACCAACATCCCAAATATAACCTCCACTCACAACAAGATCTACCTGTGGTTCCGCACAGATCATTCCAATGCACGTGGTGGGTTTGCACTCACCTGGAACTCTACAGACCCAGGTACAACACCTGTTTATCCTTTTCTTTCCTCTCATAATCCACGTGCTTAAGAATTATACAGTTAGCCCTCGATTTACGCCGGGGACGTGTTCCTGGACGAACCAGCGTAATCAGAATCAGCGTAAATTTGAACGATTTTATAATGTAAATCAATGGGAAGTCAATAACATGCATTCCCAGCACCCAAACATTGACGAGTAATATAATGGCAATACATTTAAAGCTCAGAAATAACGTAAATAAAATAAAGGGAGTTTAAAAAAATGTATTTTATACACCTACAATCAGCGTTAGTTCTTTGACGAAGTCCCTTGTTGAGGTTTGTCATGTTTTTTTAAAGAAGGCATGTAGTGTGGACTGTTGTGATTTCTTCTTTCTTTGTTTCAAAATTTTACGATATGGCCGCATGGCCTCATTTGCATAAGAGCAAACTCACATATGCAAAAGTTTGCATTTCACAAACAGCTTCTACCGATTCATTGATCTCATTGGAGCAAATTCGCGTTAACGAAACATACGTAATTCCAGAGATGACTGCATTTATAATTTTTATTCAAAATCAGCGATGTAAGAATTACGATTTACTATAAGAAGCAGTACGAGAAACATTGTAAAACATTATAAATAATAGTAAAATATATTCTTTTCACTTTTTGACTTTCTGGTTTCAAAATCGGCGTTATTCTGAATCGGCGCAAATCGAGGGCTACCTGTACTTTTATTCATTCAGTACACATGTGTTGCACATAACATGATCCATTTCTTATAGATAAAGCAATCCATTCTAATAATCTTTTTATCCATTTTGTGTGTTAATGTGCTTATCTACATACATGCATATTTCTGCGTGTTTCCGTGCATGTAGATAATTCTTTACGGTACTGGCATCTTAGAAACTAGACACCTTCCTTGGCATTCTCTGCTTCTGAATTGATAATCTTAAGGCTTTTTGGATTCAGTCATAGATATTTCATTTGTGTTGAATCCCATGTGTAGAGCTGGTTACCTTCTGTGATGTTATACCATGTAGTTTGGTAAACGTTCACTGATCTTTTGCACTGGTGCTGTGGGTAGTAAGCACCTCTGAAACTTCAGTATACTTCTACTAGACTATGCAGCACCACCATTCAGAAGACGGCTCTCTTCATAGTTATTGCCATGTGAATTTCAAGTCTGCCCCATGTAAAGAAACGTGTTCGTGGATTTTGAAGCGTAACTTTTGTTTCATTATGTTGCGTCCACATACTGGGCTACTGTCACAAAATGCTGGTTGGATTTGACTTATAATGTTGCATTAACTGATTCCATGCAGTGAGATCATTACTAATTGTTCAACTGGTAAAGGAATGTGAGTTTTAAATCTGAACTGTATCTTTGTGTACAAACATGGTACTTTTCCCTGACTGATAATATACTTTTTATGTTCAGTGTGTGGGTCAGCATACCCAATTTCGTTTAGCACACATGGAACCCTGTCATCACCTGGATCTCCAGGTCGGTATCCAAACAACCGCGATTGTTTCTGGACACTATATGCACCAAACAGCAGGCGCATTCAGTTCCACTTCTACACAGTGCAGATTGAGGCATCTTCTAACTGTAGCAATGACTACCTTGAGGTATGTACCTTGCTTTTTATAGTCGAGAACATCCAATTCACAGTCTGGTATTAGAAATAGTCAGGTCAAAAAAGTGTCCCCCCCCCCCCCCCCCCCTCCGACTTTCATTTTTGCTTTTGGATTGAGTAACTGTCTGTCATTTTGTCTTTTTTGTTAACATATCCCATTTGCTGGTAAAAGTCCTTTATATTTTGTGGTTTCAAAATGTTTCCATGTTCATCACAAAAGTTGCCTTCTGTTTTGCTGGTGGATTGTGAATGTTTTCTGGAACATAAAATATCACATTTATCTCTCCAAATGATTGCCATAAAGTTATCTCTTGTCTCAGATTGAATGTTGCAACATTTCAGTTGTTTGTTTTGTAGTAGCAGGTCGAGTAGCAGTTGCTTTTTACTACATTATACTTTCCACAACAGTTGATTTCCTGTTTATTCACTAACTAACTAGGTGGCTTACCGAACCCGAAGGTTCATCACCGAACATACCAAAGCCCTCCACCAGACCCTGTCCTGAGCCAACAAAATCCAGTCTCCTTCAACTCCTATCTCCCATAGATCCCACCTGACATTATCCTCCCATCTATGTCTAGGTCTCCCCAGAGGTCTCTTCCTCTCAGGCTTCCCAAATAGTGGACCCAACCAACCAGATGGCTTACGGAACTCGAAGGTTCATCACCGAATTAACCAAAGCCCTCCACCGGACCCTGTCCTGGGCCAACAAAATCCAGTCTCCTTCAACTCCTATCTCCCATAGATCCCGCCTGAGATTATCCTCCCATCTACGTCTAGGTCTCCCCAGAGGTCTCTTCCCGGTCTCTTCCCCTCAGGCTTCCCAACCAATACCCGGTGCACACCTCTGTCCCGTCCATGCGTGCTGCATGCCCTGCCCATCTCATTCTTCTCGATTTAATCACCCAGACAATATTGGGGGAGGGGTACAAATTTTTAAGTTCGTCATTATGTAGTTTTCCCCAGACCCCATCGTCTTCTCTCTTAGGCCCAAATATCCCTGTCACATCATTCAGTAAGTTGGGGGTGGAAAAGAAGTCTTTGTACAGCTTATGTCCATTTTATGTTCCCTCTTTTTCAATTTTTTTACAATGGCGTGTTTCGTTGTCATTTCTATGGTCATTTGCGTCCTGTTTAAAATATACCCTTCCGTTGAGAAACTTCATCCACAGCCAGATATACAGGGGAGTAATGAAACGAGCAGGCTTCATTGAAGAACATTTCTCAGTTTTCACATCGTATTATATTTTGGATCATTTTTGTCAGTAGCTCTGTTATTGTTTCAGAAGTGTAGGAATTTAATAATATAAAAGAACCTGTCACATTTCCTTGTTGTGCCATAGAAAGGTGCAAGGAATTCTTCAGTCGTGTCCAGTAAGTCCCCCAGGATATCAATTATATTATATTCCATTTGAACAGTAATTGCCAGAAACAGAAATAATAAATCTCACTTTATTAATTTTTTTTCGTTGCTTTTCAAAAAAATGAAATTTTATTATTATGAATATAACGTGTCTGTCAAAAGAAGTTTGTTATACTGAGATTTTACTGTATATAACTATGTGTTTTCTGAGTTGTACACTACCACTAACTATGAGCCGGCATAGCTCAGTCAGTATAGGGACTGGTGTTCGATCCCCGACTAAAGCAATTTTTGTCCGAGAACATACGCAAGTATTTCTTCAAATCTGTGGCATTCTTTTCTTTGTATCAAGCTAAAAGATTTTATTTACTTTCTGATGATAAATTAAATGAAAGCTTAGAACATACGTGTTCGTTACAGCGTTAGTTCCTTTATATTTCACGCCATGCGTGCACCAGATAATATTCCGACACATTTAAAAACTAATTTGATGCTTTTGTTAAATTATTACTCACGATTATAATGTTCAGATCCAGTGTAAATGTAAAAGATGTTGTGCAAAATGTTTCAGATTTTGTCAGGATGGGAGAGGAACCGTGTTGCAGTGTACTGTAACACATCACATCCAAGACCACTCACAATGCCCGGTAACCAAGCCACTCTGCACTTCCACACGAATGAAGCAGTGAATGATGCTGGCTTCCAGCTGTCTTATTCTAGCATTGAAGGTAACTACTGAACAATGGGAAACAGCATTAATTAATTGTTTATATTTTGCATCAATTAGGCCCGTTAGTGTATTGACTGGCTATGGACTCAAATACCGGGGTTCAATCCCCGATGAGGGTAGATGATTTTTCCTCTAGCCTCTGCGTCCAGACTGGCTTTGGGACCCACGCGGCCTCCTATCCAATGAGTACCGGGGTCCTTTCCCAGGGGTGAAGTCCGGCCGTTGCGTTACTCTGACCACTCACCCCTTTCTAGTGCTGAGGTTAAGAATGAGTAGGAGTTATACCTCCTCTTCCCCCAAGCGCCTACATGGCGTATAGTGGGACAGATTTACTTTACTTTTACTTGCACTGGAACAATCAGTTATCCTAACAGACTTACATAGATAACACTATTATGATATCTCACTAAGTAGGATACTGTGCTTTATTGCTAGCATGAGACTGCTTGTGGATTAGAAGAATAGGGAGGCACAAAAGATCAGTAACAATTTGTAGTGCAAGGGTTGCTTTGGCACATGCCCCATTGGTCCACTCCCACGCCTGCTCCCATTGGCTCAGGGCAGGCTACACCTTTCACATTCCGGCCCTATAAACCTAGGCCCACACACCTTATTGGCATATTCATTGCCCCGATGACGGAGGCAGTATGACCTCTGAAACGTTGGTTAACATCGACCAGACTACACAGCGCAACAACCCAGAAGACAGAAATCTTCATACTCATCGCCCTGATGACGGAGGCAGTATGACCTCTGAAACGT